TTGCCAGTACTATTGATTGCACTTTTATTTATTTACTATTTTCTTGCTGTTTTGCTGCTAAAATATAGTATATGTCATTATATACATATTACAGGCAGACCTGAACCAATTAACTTAATTATGACGCGATTGCCTCCAGCAATGAACGGCGTACTCTTAGAGAGACGGTACTGAGCAGACACACTTGAGGTCAAACTCTGGAAAGCGGCGACTCATCCAGACTCAGATGTTGCATTCCTGGGTTACTGAGGGGTGGGGGGTCTGTCTCATTCAGGACTTTGATTCCTGGCTTTGGTGTGAAAAGCATTCAGTGCGCAGTGAGAATACTCGTCCCACAGAGGCCCGAGGTGGTGGCGTGCAGTGGCATGCGGCAGCGGTGTGTTCATATCAAAGCAAGCGTCCCGCCCGGTCCTCCGTTAAACAGCCGCATGGGTGCGACCTGTGCCACTTCCAGCTTCGAACCCTCGATCCCCGTTTGTTCCTCTGACAGCATATTTACCTAATTAATCCAGACGGGACGGCAGTGCGCGTTTCTGCGTTACTGTAAGATTTGCACCCGCATGGACGGCAAACAGATCGACGTGACGCGGGGAGCGGAGGACGGAGCGGGGAGCTCGTTAGCAAACAGAGCAGACGCAGGTCAAAGGCCACAGGAAAATGACGAAAGGAGCTGCTTGTATCTCTAGCACCCTTAACAAGTCAGAATTAATTAATTAATTATCGATTATTAATTAGGTAACAATTGACAATTAATTAATTGATTACCAGTGTGTAGAAGAGCTCGTCCCCCCGTCCCGTCCCCCGGAACAACCACACCTTCAGCATGTGGAGTCTGCATGCCCCGCCCCTTCTGGTTGATAGGACTCTGACTGCTATTGACCTCCCGAATGTCGACTCTGTGCACGTCGCTGCCTGGTGGAAGTACAGGATCTTTTCCAGGGGCTGCCGCACGGTGAGGATGCCGTAGAAAGGGATGCCGGCTGCTCTCCAGCTTATCATTTATTCAAGACTCAGAGGACAGGATCCGAAGGCTGCCTGTGCTGTAAGGAGACGACGGACTTATGGATGTACTGTACGTGTGGCCCGATTCTGAAATGCGAGCACATGATATAGGCAGGGATCATGTGACCGCCGTCTGCATGTCTGTGAGGGAGGGGGCTTCCTTTCTGCCTCATTCATCCATCACGAATAATCTTTGATGGAGGGGTGGCGTGAAGGTATGGTCACCGCTGGCCTCTAAGCTGTGGGAGTGGAGATGACACTGGAGATGGGGTTTTTCCAGTAAGACCGTCTATATGAAGCCCCCCTTGCGCCCCCCCCACCCCACCACTACCACTCCCAGAAATCACTAGAATGTATCCCATTCTGGATTTGATTACATGCCCTGCTGGATGTGGGAGAGTCGAGCAGGATGTGTAAACCATCACACCGATCCCTCCCTGCCTCCAAACTTCCCAGTGGGACGGTTCGTCTGCATTGTCCATTCCGCAGGGTACCGGACTCCCATCGCCTCATCAACCCTGCACCCAGGAGGACCATAAACCCCCCCACCGTCAAGGCTGCTGGGCTGGTCCTGTAATGGAGTTATAATCAATCCCCTCCTCCCAGCTGAGAGGGACAAATCCTCCCACACCCCAGCAATTAACCGCGGAGTGAGTTAGTTCTGCATCCAGACTCCAGTCGGAAGGCAGCATCGCATCAGCCATAGAATCTTCTCATTGGGTTCCTGCAGAAATGACCCGTTACTCTGATGCTTGTTTTTTTTTTGGGGGGGGGGGGGGCTGCTCAGTGCTGGCTGTCACGGCAACACGCTCGGCTGTGTGCTTTATTTACAGAAGTGGCTTTTTTAGAAAGGACTGAGCCCCTTCGGTTGGTACGTAGGGACTCGTGTGCCAGGAGATTCTGACTCCTGGGAGATACCAGGGCCATTCGGGGCCTCTCAGTTAGCAATGGACAGCGGCGGTGTTTTCCACCCCTAGGTTCGGGGGGGCCCTGTTGACCACAAGCAGACACTACAGGGGGCCCTGATGTGACTTTTTGAGTGGGGGCCCCAGAATCAGAAAATTAGTTCTTTGTGCCTGAGAAGGAGAGAATATGAGCATTGCATTCTGGGATGCCGCGATTCTCTGCCTTCCTGCGCCCACTGGACAGCCATGTGATCAGGTGACCGAGCCTCAGCCCGTGTGCTATCAGGAGGCTCCTCTCCGGCCTTCGATTGGTCATCAGTCCAGGCCTTTCCAGCCTTGTGTGAGGGAGATCACAGCGTCTGAGGAACGGCAAACGTTTCTTAAGGTCCACAGACCCGAAACGTCGGCAATCCTGCAGGCCATAGCCGCTCCTCTGACTGGAAGTCGGATGACGAAACGGAATGGAAACCTGGCGTGTCAATTTAAAAAGCCGCAATACGAGGAAAAAGCTCTCCAGTGCGATTTACAAAACAATGTCCCGGAAATCGGCTTGATTACGCGGTGCCGTTCTGGACGGAGGGAAAAGGTCAAACCGTGGACTCAAGTCTGCCAGCCTGGGCGGGGGGCAAGAGCGGGACGCTCATCCAAATATGGTGCAGGACTGTAGCTGTGATGGTGAGCCCCCCCCCCCCCCCGGGGAGATCTCCGCCTCCTCCACTACATGTCCATAAAGATGGAGCATTCCAGCGTAGCAGAGACAGACGGATTGGTAAGGGGTTTGTCCCTTCCGCGGTCTAGGAGATCGGCCCGACCCCCCCACACCAGGGACAGCTCAGGTTACGCATCCATCTGACAGGTGCCTCACTCCAGGTTCCTTGTACACTGTCCTGCTCTGGATTGACTCTACCAAAAGCTCCACAGCCATTTCCAAACACAATAACAAACCATTACATTACAAATGACCCCATTATTAAAATCACAGCAAACAGTATCCAAACGATTCTGCTGGATTATATTTCACCAAGGATAACATCATGTTTAATGGTAACTGTATGCAGTTTGGAAATCAATTGAAGGATTTTACATTAAGCCATATTAGGGACGAGAAGCTCAAGGAACAAGCATGATTCATCAGATTAGGAGCATCTGCGAGGAAAGACAGACTCAAGAGCCAAAGAATATTAGACATGAAAGATTCTAGATGTTTGGAACCCAACTGAAAGTAAGACCGAGCGGACCTTTAGCTGTTGAGAAAAACAACAGCAGAATCAACAATAATAAGTAACAATAATGAGAAGAAGGAATGAAAATCTATAGATGCTGACGAGTCCAGGCTGTAGGCAGGAGAAGAGCAAGCGGAACAGCTGGGATTCGGAACAGATGATGGTCATTTAGGAGAAGAATGGGCCAGTGAGGTTAGGGACCATGATGAAATTCAGACTGCCCTTGTTTGTGAAACCAGAGCCTCCAAATCATCTACAAAGAGAGCAGCAGTGTCTGGAAGTCAGCAGAGAAGCTAAGCGAAGACCCCCCCCCCCCCAGCTTCACTGCTGTCATACGCACTAACACCTGTTACACAGTCCCAGTGTGTGTGTGTGTGTTGCTCTAATCCCTTATTCACTCCTTACTGGTGAAATTCATAATAACGATGAAAAATAAGTGAGGGTGGTGAAATTACTTTACCCTGATCATTTCTTGAATTTCATGATGCCGGATAAATTTCCCAATCAAACCGCATTAGGCGGTCATGTCATCTTAAACGGCACTGCAGATAATGCCCCCATCTCCATTTATGTGCTCTATGCATCATATATAAAGAGCGAGAGAGACGGAAAGCGAATCCACTTAGAAAACCTCATTTTTAACAGATTCTTTAAACCCACGGTTGCCATCTCCGTCTTCCTGCTGAGTGGTGAAGTCGTATAAAACTGAGATGGTTTCCTTCTTTTTGCGAAGATTATCGCGAGGTCGTGATTCCCAAGGCGGACAAATGGTGCGCAGACGGGGGGACTGTCTGATCAGGTCGCCGGTCCATTTCAGGTGGCTTACGGCCAAAAATTACATTAAGTACATTTTTTAAATAGCCAGGCGGCATATCCAAAGTAAAATTCATTGTACCGTGAACGGAGAAGCAAATCTTTATCGACAAAGAAATTGTTGTGATTTATGCTTAAATTTCCTCTAGGTATTAATGAAAAAATGGCCAGATACCGGCAGCGAGCCACATGTCGGTAAATAAAACTGATTTATAATCTTATTTGATGAACGTTCATAATGCGGTAAACACGGGGAGGAATGTATGACGGACATGTGTTATTACATTTGGGCAGAATCCTCCATTGATAATTGATATTTTTTAAAAGCCGCTTATTTTAACAAGTTTTATATAATTTGAAGAAATGCCTGGGTACAGTAAGGTGGTCTTTCCGTAATTCCGAGGTCCGCTGATATGTTTTCTATGTTCTATGTTAGTCCAAAGCAGACGATATCACCCCCCTCCCACACACACACATACACTCCCTAGCTGGTGCCCCTTCAGATGTATAGATACACAGAGGAGCGGACAGGGAAGTAGGTATACAGGGCAAAGTTCAAAACCACCTTATTTTCTTCGAGACCAGGCGGGGAGAGACAGGCATGGTGGTGCTTTCAAAACAGACAGTAACTGTTTACTATGCCGGCGTCTCCTGTTACAGCCATGGTGAATAGCTGGAGGAGACTTCCTGACAGGAAGCGTGTGGGGGGGCTGGTCAGCAGATACTGTATAGATTCCGGGTAGTCAGGCTAAGGACCTACTATAAGATGCCAAGCCCACAATCACCAAATCTTGGAGTTCAGCGTCCTTGTCACGTTTCTGTCGCCCGAGCTGCGATCGTCTCTATCACTTATACCTCAAATGACAACGTGATTTAAAAATGCCATAAACGACAGAATAAATCATTCTGCGTGATACATTTACAAACGGAGGGTAAACGCGTGATGAGTAATAAAATGTTAATAGACCGTATCTGGAATATGAGGCGGCGCAAATCTGACGGGGCTTTTTTTTATTAATTTCTTTTTTTTTTTAGTTCTGGCTTCTTCTCCAAAGTGTGGAGGCGTAGCGGTCCTGTGGGAGACGCGGCAGAGGACGCCGTCAGCGGCAGAAACTGCTCACATCTCACATAGGCGCTACGCGCAGTGCGATCCGCCGCTAATTAGTTCTCTTTGCAGTCAAACCAAAACCCAGGCAGTTTTTAGTCTCCACCCTGAACTCTCTTTACGCATTTTAACTCACAGATACTGAAATGCGCTGCTAAGACATGATGAGAAATCTGACATTTTATGGGATTTTTACTGAAGATTAACGCTATTAGGTATAATCATTTTGACTTAAAAATGAAGACTACGGATTACAGGGGATGCATTTTGGGCGCACGCTAGGAATGATTATATCGTACTTGTGGGCATGTACAAAGAACAGTATATTACAGCATTATCACAAAACAGAAAGACGCAACATTACGCATAATAGCGCTCTTTAAACAGGCCATTATAGAAGCTGCCGTGAGATCCCTGGTGTAAGATGCGGTCTGCGGTTTATTCAGCGCTGCTTACGCTGCTTGAATCACTCCCTTTGCGCTTACTTACTAAATAGTGCTGTCTAAACAAGCTAGAGAAGGTGAAAACGCACCGAACTGAGCACATGGTGCTGGTGCCGATCGTCCCGGTGCGAAGCGGCATCACGTGTGAGAGGAACCGGGGAACCCAGAAGTTTGACGTATCAATACGAGAAGGAAGCTGGAGCGGCGCGGACGCACGGCGATGGGCGCCTCGGTGCGGAGCCTTACTCTCCGTCCGGCATAGATGCTGCGATTTTTTAGAAATTCTTATTCCCGTCCGATCTGTTCACTTACGGTGCCGCAATCCGAATCTGAATCTACGCAAATCTGAGCAGCGGAAAAGTACACTGGGAGTGCGCAAACCAAGTACAATAGAAGCATGCTTTGGCTCACTAAGGATTTGGCTGCGGTGTACTGACATTACAAGAAACGCTTATGGGAACTTACGGTACCTCAGCTGAAAGGTAATTTCTTTGTTTATTTTTAACTTTTGGTAAAACCGTACTGTTGAAGCAGCGTATACCAGTCATCACTGCGGATCCAATTGTAGGTCATTATCTTACAAATACTTCCAGCACGCAAAGGTGTAGATCTCAAGATATAGTTGATTTTTCTTTTCTCAGATATAACTGCTGCTAGATAATTCTGTAGTGCTATTTTTTGTATATATTAATCATACGATGGCTTTTCGGTTTTGCCTCTACCCACGTTTTTTTTTTAGAAAAAAATAATGAAAAGGATGCAAATGATCCCAATCCGGCAATGCGGATTAAAATGTACATTCAAACAGGGAAAAGCGATTCGACGGACGCGCCGAACTTGAGCGGCAGTAACTGGTAGCGATGCCACTGTATTGAGGCGCATTAATGCAGCTCTCGCAAAGCGCGTCTATTGTCTAGCTGCCGTCAGTGGGTGACCCTCACCTCTGCTGTTACAGGACCCGCTGCCAGCTGCGCTATCATGACTGATGGCGAGGCGCGAAAGCCCGTACAGTACTTGGACTTCCAGGAGGTGAGGGTACCCATTTGGGAGTCCGTCCAGCTCCCGGTTCGGTGCGAGGACACCGAGGGCGATGAGGAGAAGGAGAAGGAGGAGGGCAGCGCCGGGAACCCTAACGCGGAGAGTACCGGTTCCGGAGGGTCGAGCGGCCGCGATCCCGCTCCTGACCTGGTCATGGATGATAAGGAGCAGCCGCCGTACCCGGGCCTGGCACCCGTTGTCTTCTTTTGCATCAAACAGACAACCCGACCTCGCAGTTGGTGCCTCAGACTGGTCTGTAATCCATATCCTTTTCTTGCATCAACGTTCCTGACATTTCTTTTGTGCAGAGTGGCCAGGCTTTTGATCTCCTTAATCGCTTTTTGAAGCCTTTGTGTCTGACATGAGTTGGAGTGGGGGCGTCTGCAGTCCTTGTGAGTGAAAATTTGAAAATGGGCAATTATTGCATATCGCAGTGTTTGACCAAAAGCAGAACAGTAGGCTGGTCGTACTCATGGGAACTGTGAGCCCTTTATGTCTGTTATATTAATGTTCAGCCCTTCAGGGACCGGCGATCTGCAAACTTTACGGTTAAATGGAAGGTGTCATCAAACATTTGGAGATTTATCGAAGTATACAAAAGTTATTATTACTGAAAAGGTGTGTGGGGGTATTTTGAATTAAATTATCTTTATTAGCATCAAGTCGGCTTGGAGTTCTGTCAAGTTCTGTGAAGATCTGAAACAAAATATTTCATAGACATAATGGCTGGCTCTATCGGCCCTGTCTGCTAGAAAGCTTGGTATTTCATGAACAGATCAATTTGCTAATTTCTTGGTATCTTGTTTAGGTTTTTTGTGGGTTTCTTTAGTGTTTCATTTGTTGCTGGAGTTTTTTTTACGCGCGTCGCAGTATTGATTTATGGGGGAGGCATCGCCAAACAGACCCAGGCCTTGACGGCAGCCGGTAAATCAGGCATCAGGGAAACGCACAGATGCCGCTTCACATTACGGCTCCGTGCTTCACTTTCGCACAGATCCATTTGCACCCGAAACATGTCATTAGCAGTTACTCTGACAGTATTACAAAATGTAGCGAGATCGCCGTTTTAGCATGTTTAAAAAGCTCTCTTGTCACGACCGATTTACTGCAGATCGTTCAGGAGGGCAGAGTTCATAAATAACTATTTGTTTATAATTTATAAACTCCGAAGCAAGGGCGTACCTAGAAAATTTGGCCCCCTTGACAGAAAGTTACCTTGCACCACCCCTCAGTCAGCCTTACGTGTACAAGGGCCCTGTGAGTTATGGTCCCCTTGAATCTGCTCCTCCAACGGACCGGCTCCGAAGGTATGGGAATGGAAAAGAGATTCGGTGCTTCAGATCGTGCGGGCTTTCTGTCAAAAAGTGAAGCTGATCCCCCGATCTGCATGCGAAGCGTGGCTGTCATGTGGATGACGGAATTGCTATTGTTCTTTACTGGTGGTACGGCCAATGAATTAGTAGGTCGCTGAGTATCTGTTAGCTAACATTGGGCATGGTGCTTTTCTCATGATTTCTTTTTAAATGTTGTATATTCTCGTCGCTGAAAGGACGGGCTGTTGTAGCATGTTTCTGATATGTGCGATATACGTCACCAGTGTGACGTAGCGGTAGTGATGGGGTCATTTTTTTTTGGCGCTGTGCTCGTTTTTATGCTAGCTGACGTCATTTTGTTGTGTTTTTACCCTCTGGTTTCTGGCTTCTCTTTAAATACAGGACGGCTGGTTTCACTCCAGTTGCTATATTTTGTTTTATTATATCTGACAGTTGCATGGATGTATGGACATTCTTCTAGCAGTAATGGTGTTGTGGGCGTGCGCCAGTTTTAAGTGTGATACTCTCCACCTTTTTCCTGGAGACAGTTTGTCGTTTCTCCACTTCCGGACTGGAGCATGTATACATTTGATTGCTCCAGCCACAAATCTCCCTGCACCTGTAGGCTTGTGTGGCAGCCTTTGGACCGCTGCTGTAAATACCCAGCAGACAGACGCTGTATGTGGATCTTAGCAGGGGGTTTTCTGGAGATGGAGAAAGGTTACGGCCATAAGTCCTGAGAGTAATTCTGTGGGTGTCCTTAACTGAAATTGCTACAGTGATGTTAAGTGATTGTATCAAGTGGCAGCTAGTAACCTATAAGTCTGTGGAACATAATGTACCTGCTTAGCCACTACAATAAATGATTATGACTGGCTGAGTTACACGGAGTGTCAGCGCTGGACTCGTGTGAAATTGGGTCACGCTGGAAAGATCTTATTAGCAGTAAGTCACAGAACCCCCCCCCCACTCCACCCCCAGGTTAATGACGGTCTGCAGTTACTGTTTCAGCAAAGCATCACATTCGGTTTGCCTCGCCGGTCAGTAGGCGTGGCCTGCAGCACGATAGCTGGCTGCCTCATACGAGTCTGACGGCAGCTCTTGCTGACGATAGTGTGCACGGTGCTCTGCTTACGTTGCACCAGGCAAAAAAAATACATAAATAACATATATATATATATATTGCATGCAGAAATTAGGTGCTTGAGTTGTGAAATGCAAGCAGGTTGCACAGTAAGTAATAATAAGAGGAAATGATAATGAAGCGGTAGGTATTAAGTAGGGGGTTAATTATAGTGCGTGCGTGTGCGTGTCTGTGCCTTTTGCTCTGGGAAGCGCGTGTCATTAGTGTAGCGTTCTTGTGCTGCTTCTTCGGTGGCTCATGGTAAATTTGAGACGCCTTTCCGTGGAGGAATCCGGAGCCCCCGGTGGGTGCTTCCCACGTGTCGAAGGCCCCCGCTTCCCATCAGCCTCTGCGCCTACTTGCCTGGGGACCCCGTTACAGTATTTTTTTCTTCCTGTGGGACTGGGTTGTGTGTTGGCAGGGAGTTCCCCAGCACGAGTACTGGCAGTTGCTAGGCACCAGTGAACTTACTGGTTTTGGCCAGAGCATGGGCTGGTCGGGCCAGACTCCCCCATTCCAGTTGGGCACTTAAGTGCTTGATTGAACTAATTATTTCCCTAAGTGAACCAATTTGACACTTCTCAGTGCTGAGGGTTGTTTGCCTTTTCAAGAGTCAGAAAATCTGAAGAGCATTGCCAAACCCCCCCCCCCCCCCCACAGTTTGGATGTGACACCCTATAATCTTTTTTCTACTGATTCCCCAGTTATGACATCGTAGCGTCACATATATTTATGACCATGTTGTCTAAGGCTAACCAATCTCCCGGGTTACCGACAGTTCCACAAGCAGCATCTCGGAATGCCGGCATCGCTGGGCAGTTGCCGTGGCGACGGCAGTCACTAATACTAAGGCAAGCTTCACCCACGTAACCCATGATGTAGTGCCTTATCCGACTCACTGCTTCATTTATAACGCTGATCGATGGTCCCTGATTAACAGTGATCTCCTCTTGGCCATCCTTCTCCTCTCTCCTTCTCGTTTTCTCATCGGCTTGATGGGTTTTTTTTATTGCCCGGTCGCCCGTAATTACGTAACTAGATTCCGATGGCAGGATGCAGCCTTATCAGCATGTGAGTAAATACAGGAGGCTGGCCTTCACTTCAAACCATCAACAGGTTGTGTTTGGCCAAAGTACACACCGGTCAGCTCTGTTCATCTCAGGCCGTGAGGTCTGCGAATAGTCTGGGGGAGACAAACAGACATTTTAAAGGTACTTCTTAAAATATAATGCATCCTGTGTACCGGAGCTGCTTTTATTAAATGGCACAAACCTCAGAAGCTGGGGAATACGTAGTGGCCTTATCAAGTGGCTGTGTGCTTCTTTGACGTTTTAAATAACCCAGTCGTACTGGGGCTTTTGTTTTTCTGTTTGGGTAATGGGTTGTGTACCAGTTAAGGAGTTTGGCTTGCGATTGCAAAAAAAGTAACTGGTTCAGGTCCCCTGAGAAAAGCTGCTAGTGTTACTGTTGACAAAGGTGTTTCACCCCCATCACCTTGGCGAAACATCCATATGTGAAACAGACCTGTGCAAGGTGGTTAAAAAGTAGCTAAGTAATAGCATTGTGGAATAATGTTGCACTCATGGGGGAGGGAATCTGCATGCCGTTTAAATTGTGTCATAGAGTGTGGGTTTGAGATTGAGGCTTGGGGTCTGGGTCCGTTACTGCTTTCATTCCCCTTTTTGGAAATGTTTTATCTCTAGACAGTCGACTCTCTTGCATTTTCCCACAATGCACTGCCATCTCCTGTTTATCTTTTTAACTCTCTTTTTTTTTTTTAAGGTGACAACAAAAGCTGACCTAGTAAACGATGGTGTTGCAGTTCACCGCTTGGCCCTAACAGCTTTTTGGGACAGAGTGATTGAGGTTTTGAGGGGGACCTAATTGGGCTAATTTGGTCAGGTGGTGTAGTTGTTTTTTTTTTGACAGCCATTTGTGAGTTCCACCTGGCAGGAGATGCAGATCTGTCAGTGGGTTTGGGAGGCCATAACGAGTCTGTCTTTAGATACAGCTGTGTTCAGTGACAGGATGTCTGTTTTCTCATCTGTCTGTCCCAGCTGATGCATTCGTGCGTCACATTCAGGGGCTCCTGGGCTATTTTGAGAGCACCGGTAAATATCGACTGAACAGCTGTAAGCGCATTGAACTCGCGGGGGGAAGATTTATACCTGACTGCCGCCCATTATCAAAAGCGGTGCCGAGGGGGGTGATGTATAACAGAATCACGCCCTGGAACACTCTCATCGCAGTACACAGTGATCCATAGACTTTAGATAAAGTTCTTTCTTATTGTGGAATTTCTCTGTACTGTGGGTGTGGCTTTACTCTATGGGAGGAGCCAGCTCTGGAAGGTGGAGTCAAGTCTGGAAGATTGAAGGGTGATTCTGCATCAGACCTGACCTATTCTGATGGCCATGGGGGTGCTCCCTTGGGGGGGGGGGAAGATAAATAAACTAGGGGGGTCCTCTCATCACCGAGATTCTGTTGAGCCATTTTTCCATTTCTAGGTTGGAGTGGCTAAGGTCCTCCCCCGTTCTTTTGAGTTTCGCGCACGTCTCGCTGCCCTGTTTGTGACCCTACATGAACAAATGACATCCAGACAGGCTGATGATGGCTGTCATGGACGTAAAATCCGATTACTGGACCGGGTTACAGCAGAGTCCACCCCGGCGGGTTATAATCGTCCCTAAGCTCCTGAGATGTAAGACGTAATGAACATTTATGATTGTGCCTGCAGTTGAAATGCATGTATTTGATTGCCGTTTGGTGCTCCTTTGAGTGCATTTCCTGTTGCCACTGGAATCTGTTGATTGAGAACTTACTTTCC